GTAGGGACTTAGCTCAGCAGCATAGCATGTGCTTGGCAAGTGTAAGGTCCTGAATTCAATTCCTAGTGCCAAGAAAAATTTGTTGAAGTAGGAAGAATTTTTTGAGAGGAAGAATGCTTCTGTCTAAGTGAAGCTGAAAGAGCATCAATTTCGTGCTTAATTAATGGCCAAACATCATAAAGTCTAATGTAAAGAAACAATATATTATAATATTCAGTAAACCAAGGAGAGAGGCAGGCAGCTCTGGAGGTGGAAGCAACATGGTGATTTCATTCTTTGACTGACTGTTCCTTCTTCTGAGGGGCAGCTGTAGGGTAACTACACCTTGGGTCTTGGAGGAGGTCTTGCAGCAGGGAGCGCTCCTGACAACAGTGCGGCCCGCCATGTGGGCGGGTGTGCCCTGTGCTCCCACAGAGGGAAGGTGTTGACTCTCCTGAAGGACACAAGGTTGAGGACTAAATCCATAATCATTATCAGCCCAGACCAAAACTTTCCAGTTGACTTTACTTTCATCATTCTCTCCCAACAGCAGTTCGATGGCCCATGAAATTCAGCCTTCAGAAACAGATTTTCTTTTTTAAATGACTCAATTCCTGGTCCAAAGACACCTTTGCTGCTTCATAACCTGCTCTTCTCATATTGCCCAATAAAATGGGGACAAAACTGGTGTTTGGTGCAGCTACTGTATAAGACAAAACATGCTAGTAGAAAAGTTATTCTATGCATTTTTCAGCTCAGTGACACAGTGCCTAAGACCGTGTTACTTATTCATACAAGCTTAACTTTCACAACTCCTAAAATTATGACTATCTTTCAAAATCAAAGCCATAAAATATGGATGAAATGGATTCTTTCTTTAAGGGGCCTACAGCTTAGTTGAAGAAAAAGCTACAAAATTATCAGTAGAAGTACAAGATAGTACAAAATTAAGCAATATGGTGAGCTACAAGCCAAGCAGATGGCCCTGGTTAAGCAGAGCTGCAGAGAGACTGGTGTCAGCTAGCACTGCTGGATGGAAGAAACAGGGCTGCAAGAATGGGAGGACCTGGGGAGGGAGTCTGTGGAGCGTTCTGAGCAAGTGGAATAAGAGTTCGTGCAGAGACCTGGACCTGAACCAAAGTGTTTTCACGGGACGGGGTGGGGATATGAACGCACACAGCTGCAGTCCATTTGGGGAATGGTTGGGAAGTGGCCGGATGAATTTTGCACCACACTGTCACAGGCACAGCGAGTTTTACCAGCTGCAGATGCCTGCCAAGGAATTTTGTAAGAGTGTGACTCACAGCGATACCCTACCCTCCTCAGTGGACCTGGGCACATTGCTGGGGATTTGTAAATATTTGCATTATTTGTACCTTGGCCAGTGTCAGAATGCCTCGAAGGGTATATGGGTGAATTTGAACACACAGATTGCCAGGAGGCCTCACCCTTCAGCAAAAGTCATCACAAAATCATTAAAACATTGTCCTGGAGAAATAGCTCAAGCTTTATTAAGTGCACATCCTTCAGTTGATAGACTCTTCAGAGAAAAATACTTTTTGCTGTTACCATTTACACAATTCAGTTTTTTTTTTTTTCAGAGAAGATGAGGTTCTGAGAAAAGCTAAAATTCTTTAAATTATACTTCATCTTTCCTGCGATTATGCTTGCATTGTCGTTGCTTTTAAACCTACAATCCTGTTTATCTGTTGGAGTCATTAGTAAAAAAGTCATCTCTTCCGTGTTTGTTCCTTGTGGTCACTCAAACCAAAGTTCAGCTTCAGTTATGGATTAACTCCACCGGGAAATATTCTTACGTGAAAGCATACTTTTGAAAACAATGGGCTCCTTTTTCTCTTATGGCCTGAGTCATTCAAGCATGAGTGCCTCTGATAATTCTGCAAACACACAGATCTGAGTTAGCCCTGAATCTTAAAGAAGGACTTGGTATGGCCCATCCTTTTGCGTTATGGCCTCAAGGCTATACTTTCAGGAATCCCTTCTATAGTACCTTACTAGAGAAGTATCTTTGGTTGTGGGTGAATGGCCCACATGAAGAAATAGCAATCCATTTTTAAATCAAAATGAATGTGCATAGGATCCCTAGGGGCCAAAACACACCTCTACTCACCCGGAGCATTGAAATCTATAGTATCCACCACTTTCAGTCCAGGAAAAACAGGCAATTTTGAGCAATCTTTCCACAGCCTCCTTCCCTAAGCCACTACACATGAGCTGGCTGCAGATGTTCACACTGAATTTTGAGGCTGGCAAAGAAACCTTCCCTTGTGACTTTGGACATAGATTTCTCCAAAGTAATTTAGAATTTCAGAAAGGCTGGCACCTCAGCAGTGCTTTGGAGAGATTTAGAACTTTCTCCTATCCCAGTTTTGATCGGTTTGTTCCTAGTATATCAGAAAGATATCATTAGATGTGCAGAAATATGGTAACTTCATCTTATAAGTTGAATCATCATAGTGGGCTACAAACCCTTTTAGATTCACTGAGTAGTAGCACAGTTTCATTCGTAAGAGGAAAAGCACTATTCACTACTATTCATGATGGTCTAATCATAAAAGAACAGAGATTTTATGTCGTCTTAACTCTCTTCTGTACATTTCAGCTTTTTCATTGTACGTTGTGTTAGATTTTCCTACTATTGAATTTTTTATAACAATTCTTAAGATTCTGTTGCTCAGTAAACAGAAGTTTCTGGTGTTGCTGATGATAATTTCCTAATTTTTACACCTTTACCCTTTCCTAATCTTTCAAGATCCACAGACATGGTTGCACATGAACATAGAAAAACTATGACTTGGGCCAGAAAGAAGACATTTCTTAGCAGAGACTTTGCCACCCACTACATCTTCATGTAGCTTGGTTAGGTTCATGGGTGGCGTAGAAGATTTACTGACGCTTGTGGAGCCTGGTTCATCTGACTGGAAGCGAGTTCTTTGATTATAACTCCTGCCATTGGTCAGCAATTCATGAATAGACCCTCAGATGAAGAGCACTAATATTATTTTCTGTGAGCTTAAAATTGTGGGCTGCACTAGCCAGGATCTCCAATGAGTTGGGGCTTTCTCCAGCAGGCAGAAGGACTCACCCTTTCCTTTCGCCTCTCCTCCCCAGGTTGACCTCAGAGCCACAGACGTCCGACTCATGCGGCAGCTGCTCGTTATCAACGAGAGCATCGAGTCCGTCAGGTGGATGATGGAGGAGAAGGCCACCCTGACCAGTCGAGGCAGCAGTCTCAGCGGCAGCCTGTGCAGCCTCCTGGAGAGCCAGAGCACCTCGCTGCGCGGCAGCTACAGCAGCCTGCAGGACGGCAGCGACGGGCTGGACGGCATCTCTGTGGGAAGCTACCTGGACACTCTGGCGGACGACGTTCCGGGACACCAGACCCCTTCAGACGTGGATCAGTTCAGTGACAGCTCCATCATAGAGGACTCCCAGGCGCTGCACAAGCACCCCAAATTGGACTCTGAGTACTACTGCTTTGGCTAATGATCCAGGTGTGTGCATGGGACTGTTGCGCAATTAACTCGTGTCTACCCTCCTCCTCCTCCTCTGCTGCTGCTATATTTTTGGTGTGTTTGTTTTTAAATAAGAAAACCTTTTTGAAGAAGCTTATTTTTAAACTGCTTAATGGTCTTTCTTTTGCTCCTAATACTTCTCATCTAGATTGATTTATTTTTCTCCATTGCAGCTCTATTTTTATTTATTACAACATTTTTCCTCCCTTTTACTGTAGCACAAAGAAAATAGGGGGAAAGAATAAGCAATAAGGATGTCTTTGCTTTTGTTTTAGAGCAAGGGGTCAGGGCTGTAAGATATACTTTGCTAAATTTTACAATAAACCAAAGTCTGATAACTTAAGTTTGTTGCTTGTGTTCTTAAATGATCCAAAGTTTTATTTCTAAAATATAACAAAATGTGTTATTATTTGTATATTAGGTTGAATAAAATGCTTTGAACCAAAATTACCATAGTTTCTAGGCCACAGCATCTGAGTGTAGAATCAGGAGTACTGTTAGCCACGTACTTTTACATGACCTTATTTGGGAAACCCCAAATCTATGCATTTTTTTAACCCTGGTATTGTTACTGTAAATTAGCACGATGTCAACATCAATTTTAAACTCAAATCTTAAACTTATTCATGTGATGATATATAGCATATATTACTCTATCCAATTTACAAGAATTATTCAGATGATTAGAGGAAAAGATGTCCTAAACTTAAATACATTTTGAGATTTGGTTGGCATTTTCTTGTATGAATTTGCCATTCTGATAGGCTACATAAAAGCATAGTAGGGCCGGGGAGATGGCTCAGTAGAATAACCGCTTGCCTGACAAGTGCCGGGTCCTGAGTTCAATCCCTGGTACTGCAAAAAAAAAAAAAAAAAAAAAAAAAAAAGAAAAGAAAAAAGTGCCTTTTAAAAGCATTGTGTACATGTGCAAATGAGTGGAGAGATTGACTGATGTGTAGATAATAGATATTCTTATAATAGAGAAGCAAATTCATTTAATCTTAATATTCAGTATGACATTTTTTAGTCTTGGGATAAATAGCCTTTTAGTTTTCCAAAATACCTGGAAATGTTATAACTCATTTGGTGACTGAAAATATTTGGTTTTGATGCTCTGCTGTTTATCTTCAGCATTATCTTGATGATTCCTAGTGGGACAACTTAAGTAAGATTTCCATCTCTTCTTTCTAATGATGCGTGTCTCACCCCACTTTCCAGTAAGAACCAGAAAGTCTTCTTACTTACAACTGAGAAATGCCCATATTTAAAAATATTTTCTCCCACATTTCCTGTTGTTATATGCTCCTTGCAAATTTGTCAAATGTAGTGTTTATGTCCAAGACATATGTTACTCCATTTCCAATTAAAATCTTTCAGGGATTTAATCACATGCAAGTATTTCCCCATAAATTGCTTGATACGGTCTGCATGGCAGCCACTTCCCGGTGTGAGGACTGTCACTGCTTTATATTTCTTAGTTACCTCTCTTGTTGCTGTGATAACACACCTGACACCCACACGTTGACTGAGAAAAGGTTGCTTAAACTCACAGTTTGCAGAAGTTTCAGTCCACAGCCAGCTCCAAAGCAAGGTGATGTGACAGAAGAGAAACAGTCTAAGGCAGAGCAGGCAGCAGCGGCGGCGGCGGCAGCAGCAGCAACAGCACAAGCCTCCCTTTATATTGCATCCAGGCCACACCAGACCCAGTGTGGGTCTCTCCCGTTATCCACACCCGAAATGATGCTGCAGTAGTTAGTGGACTGATCCTCACTGCACACCTTTAATCTCCATCTCACACCCTCAGCCACATCCCCACACCTCACCTGCGACAGCACGAGGCTCTAGGGGGACAGCTAGACATAACCCATCGCAATACTTAAGGAAACAGACACCTAGAAGGTAAGTAACTAAGTCACAGATCCCAGCAAGTGTCAAAGCTACAACTGGAATTTGGGTCTTCTTATCACTAACGATGACACTCCATAATCTCTTTGCTGCTTCCTGACATTAAATAGCAAAATGTGAATGAGAAAGAAAGTTCAATGATAAAAGTTATAATGTAACAAATCATTTCTTCTCTAGTCAGTTTTTTCCCCATTCTGAGCCTACCAAATGCTTTATTGAAATCACACATTCAGAGTCATTTTCCTGCCTTGTAGTGAATCTGCGAGCTGTCCACAGCCCAGTTGACTAGTTCTTAGTAGTTAGTTGTTCCTACTGTTGCCCTCCCTTTCTGAACACTTTTCTTTTCAGTTTAGTAAAGGCTGCCTGGTTGGTTACTTTGTTTGGTTTTAATGTGGAATTAAACTAAGAATTTTTTTGCATGGATTGTTTATCAGATTAAAATTAAGGGATACACACAGTGACACAACAGAGAAGACTTCCTCAGAAGGAAGACCAATGGGCTTCAAACAGAAGGCAATGAAATGTGTCAGCAGTGGCTACAGCACTGCAAGGAGATTATTCTGAATAAGGACGTGGGCCGGCAGCAACGAAAAGGGCCCAGAGCAAATCCAACCCGTTGTTTGCTAGAACGGGCTGTGTATGTGAGCAACAACTGCTGTCCTCAGGTCACTGTGAATTCACTCTAGAAAACTTCTTTTACCTTCCTTTTTCGGCCAACTTCCTTTACTGTTTTAGCTACACCTGCTATAGTTTTCCCCTTTGTAGAAAGGAAATTAATTTTTAAGAAAGCAATGATATGAGATGCTTATAGAATAGTTTCATTTACATGTTGCTTTGTGAGGTAACTAGAATTGACAATGGAAGAATATTTAATGTTTTGACGTTGTTAATAATGTCTCACTGCCTGTGGTGGTGGTGCCTGACTAATCCCAGCACTTGGGAGGCTGAGGTAGGAGCATTGCCCCAAGTGTGAGGCCAGCGGGGGCTACAGAGTGAGACAAGATCAGCCTGAATTACATAACAAGACCCTGTCTCAAGAAAAAGTAATTTCTCAATATTTCGGATGCTTAATTTTTATTCAAATTATGTTTTGCAAAAGATAGAAAATATAAAGTATATATGATTTTGAGAGTCACATAACGCAATAATTTTTTCATAGTTTATTTTGCGGAGAGAAAGCACACGTAGTGAGCAAGGCTAATTACTAATATAGTCACTGGGCTCAACAGAACAAATGTGTAGGAGCACTTCATTTTCAGCTCAGGAATCCACACAGCTAATCCCTGACCTGGAACACTTGATGTTTGCTCCCTGTCGGCACCACTAGGACCTTGGGAAAGAGTTAAGACAAAGGTATTTTTCAGAGTGTTCTGCCGACGCTGAGTTATGCTCTCCCAGAGAACCTGGAATGTGTTTTAGTTACATTAATCTGGTTTATGGACTTGTTATTCATCCAATGGAAGTGAAATAACTGAACATAAAGAATTCAAACAAGGTAACGTGAGTACTTTTTTGGCATTTCATAATAATGGAGCTTTATATGACCAACCAACATAGAAATCTTAAATACAAGGAACTCCCAATGTTTATCTGGCCGGTCAGCCCCAAATTACATAGTATAAAATCTTAATTATCTTCAGTGTTTAGGAATGCAGTAGGATTCCTTGTCAGTGGGTGGATTGGAGTGGCATTGGGATCACAGTCAATGACTTCAGTTGAGGCACTTGTTTTTCCGGCACCATTAGAACACAGTAACCTGAGTAATGCAAGACCAAACGCCTACTTCAAGACTCTCAGCTCACCGATATCACCCCATACTATGACAAATTTGATCATTCCTTTTAGAAAAAGTAACTTGACTTGGCTTCTAGGACATCCCTTTGTCTTAGCTTCTCTCTCTAGTTGATTGTTTCCAAACTCCATCACTGGATTCTTACTCAGTTTTTGACTTCCAAACTCAAACATAATCCTGAGGACAACTCTCTTCTAACACAGAAATCTGATTCATTTCACCGCTGTTTATGACACCTGAGGACTAAGATTTCTAAACACATATCTTGCGCCCTAGTCTCTTCTTGACTCATCTCCTACATCACTTACCTGATGGCATCTCTGCCTGCTGCCTGAGAAGGGCCTCTATTTGGACAGAACCAAAATTTTGCAGATTTTTTTTCTAGTTTAGTAAGTGGTATCTCCCTCTTCTCATCAATTTCTCAGCCCAAATTCTTGAAGTTACTGTTTTTTGAGACAATGTCTCACTATGTAGGTCAGGCTGGCCTTGAACTCACAGTGATCCTTCTGCCTCCGGCTCCGGGATGCTGAGAGTCTGGGTGTGTGCTGTCATGCCTAGGAGAGGTCAGTCTCAGCTGCTGTCTTTCTCTCGTACAGTGTTCAAATCGTACAAACTCCACTTGAGAAACAGATTCAGAATGCATCTCAGACTCGCATCGCACCCTCTGCTGTCCCCCAAAGGACCAACTTCTCCCTCAGATTTTTGCAGCAGTCTCATCTTCTTTCCCTACTTACCTTCCCACCATGAGCACTCAGCACAGAAGAATAACTTGGCAAGACACAAGCCAGACTATGCCAGCCTCTATTTCGAACTTGTAGTGTTTATGTGTCTCTCAGAGTCTAAGCCAAATGATCATGCGCTTCAGAGCCCTGTGCACACTTTCCTCCTTCTGCCAGTGGAACGTGTTTTCTGTCACTCCCACCTCTTATGAAGGTGTGTGTGAAGCCTACTTCTGCCTATAAGACCTCAAATCTAAGCATATTCTAACCTCAGGATCTTTTTGCATCTCATTTTCTCTTTCTGGGACACTCTTTCATTGAGTGCTGTATTGTCCATCATCTAGAAGTGTGTCTATCACATAGTAGACACCAAGTTAACATTTTCTGACAGAAACATTTATTAAACATTTTCTGAGTACCTTCTGGATGCCACGCAATGACTGCCATGTTTCGATGGTACAAAGATGAATAAAATATGAATCATACCCTAAAGGAGCTCACATGTCTAGTGTGTTTCTCTGATAAAAAAAATAATGTCTTTTACTTCCATCTCCTAGGATATTCATGATCTTCCTAATCAGTGGAATCTTTAAATATGTTACTTTGCATGAAAAGGAGACTTTGAGGTTATGGTAAGGGTCTTGAGATGGGATGATGACTTTGGATTGTCTGTGCTGTGGGAGAGGGAGAAGGAGTGGAAGAGGGAGAAACAGAGACAGAAATAGAAACAGAGAAAGAGAAAGGGAGGGAGAGAGGGAGGGAAAGAGAGGGAGAGGGAGAAACAGACAGACAGGGAGGGAGGGAAGGAGAGGGAGAGGGAGAAACAGAGACAGAGATAGGGAAGGAGAGGGAGACAGAGAGAGGAGGAGGAAGAGGGGGAGGGAGCAGAGGAAAGGAATAAAGGTAGGGGACAGGGAAAGGGAAGATAGGAGAAGAGAGGAAG